AGTAATACAGTATGATTGAGCTGTAAGAACTCACATTTACCCAAGATACATTATCTTAGGAAGTTAAGAACCATAATATAGGGTCTACCAGACTACCGGTAGCGGTAGATGGACAGTGTAAACATAAAATTAAAGAATATTGTTTAAATAAATTGATAAAATCTTGAGCTAAATTGCCTGACCTCTTAGTGACCTGCATATGCAATATTCATTATATTGTGCATGTCTGCATGAGAATGTTTCACGGAGACAGAGACATGCTTGCAGTTATAGCCAAACATGAAATGAATGTGCAACTTGCAAGATCTCTCAGTCTCATGTATGAGTTATGAGTATACACTTATTATGTCTAAAATAGCATTATCTTCATGTTTCTAACTTTCTCAGTATTGCTTAGGCCTTAATGATTTGATAAAAAAGCTACTTTTGTACTCCCTACCTTAGCCTGTAGGCTTAGGCTTATAGGGTAGGTACTAGGTATCTAGTCTTCATATTTCCTAAAGAAAAAATTTCTATCGCAGATTAAAGAATCTTTCATAATGATAAGGTGCATGATAGCATGTAAAAGAGTAATTAATGGTTCACTGAAAAAGTCACCCCTGATTGAGCTGATTCCAAAATTCTATGCTGAATGCTGATTATGCAGTTTCACTCTCACTGTCTGTCACACTCACACAATTGTATTAGGTACCTTTATAATAAGCATACTATTCTACTCATTTCACTAAAGAGTTTACAATTTAGTAGTTTTATAAATGCCAAAATATCTGAAATAATAATTGAAGAATAATAAAGATAGCCTACCCACTGATTTCCCTATCCCCACCTCCACATCTACGGTTACTGGGTTACTGATTTACAAGCTCTGCACTGGGTTGATTGGGTCATATGGGCCGCCAAAAATCTAATGCAATATTGAGATTTCTCAATACAATTTTCCGGAAAAAATGGCAAGTAAGCAATAAATCAACTGAAAAATATTAACAAAAATAATAGCAGAGAAAAAAAATATACAGCGTTAGCTCAAATAACAAATTCGTTTGAATGTCGCCACAATTTCTACAAACGTTAGCAGAGCGGCAGCCATATTTACTGGCATAGCATATACAAATAGAAGTTTGTCCGTCGACCCATCTTTTTTTGCCATTTAAATATGTTTCCGCTCAAGAAAATTAGTATGTAACACCGGCACCGTAAACAATAGCATTATTTGCAGTTATGACAGTTTTTCGGGCCATTTTGAGGAGGTCAATTTTATTTTATCTGATCTCATTCGCCGCAACGTGGGAGGCGATCTCCCTGCATAGAGACCGTTTGGTCTCTCCGTAGGCACCGGCAGGCAAGATACCATTAGCCAAGAATGGTGTGACAAGGCGGCCGAACCTCGACTGGATGGAGGCTTTCACGGGGCGGTCCCCGAGAGGGGCAGAGGCCATGCGAAATGAGGCATGGGAGGGCTGGAGGGCGCTGGCGAGGAATTGGGCACAAGCCAGGTGCAGGTGCGCGGACAAAGGGAGGACGCTGGTCTCCTGGTGAAGATGAGCGGTCGTGGCCATTTCGAGGCAGCCGGTGGCTAATCTCAGAGCAGTGTTTTGTATTATTTGCAGGATGGCAATTGCTAGCTGTGCGTGAGGCAACAGGGTAATGCAAACTACCAGTAATGAAACCCAGCGATAGCACGCAACCTGCAAGTGGTGATTGTAGATGATGGTGATTTTAATCTTTCCACAAGTGTAATTGTTCCTTCTCTGAAGAGTAACGCAAATAAAAACTAACTGAAAAATGTAACCACATAAGTGCCTTTTCATTAAATCTTGATGTAGAAAGTTAGTTTGAATAGTTTATTTTAATTTCAGATGCACGCGAGCTACCGGCCATGGTCAAGTTGAAAGCGATCTCGGGTTCGCATCCTACTAGCTACGGTCGAATAGTTCTTCCAGCGGAGAATTAAAAAAGTGAAAGATAGGGTCGTGAATAGTATTTCTATATCTAAATAATGTAGCTCATTGCAATAAGATGGTCATATAATTTAACTGTCTCGATAAAAGATGTATAATGAAATTCGATCTTATGTAACATGATAAGAAATGTTCAGAGCTCTATTGTGATGCCATAAATTTGCTCGGAGTTGTTACCCATAACATCACTGATCGAGGGTGCGTATGCAATATACGCACCTACGTATATAACATCTTAGTTATATATTGGCATATGAATTATCACCCTTGTATTGCTTGTAGTTCTTCAGCAGCGGTGCTGACGTCCGTAGAGTTCATGCATATATGAGTTACTTCACTTTATTGTTGTTACTTTACTCAGTTTTACTTCGTGATGAATTTATAGCGGTAATTCAAGAATAATAGGGGAAATTCAGTGGCTTTTGGAAATTGAAAATGAATCATTTCTGAGAAGAGATATGTTCGGTTCAACTGCAAATTTTCTAGTGCAGTTTGACTCTGCTCACTTCCTGTTAAGGCCACTTTAAACAATGCAACATTCTAACTTTTAATACGATTCGGCTTGTCATAAGTGCAGAATCATTAGATTTACTGCATCATATTGACTGATAGGATCGGGCGAATCGAAGTAAACAAAGGTGCTGAAGGTACAGGGAAATTTATAGCATACATTTTGTATTAATCATTGTTGCGATAGGCAGTGGATTTTTTCTTTTTTATAGTTTCCTTCCTAAGACATCGATCTCGTTGCTGCACAGCAGCGCGGCTGGCGAGATGAAATGTATCGACTTTTTATTAGGCTATTTCTCCGTCGCAAAGTAACACGTTTAATATTTATTCAGTGATTGCAGCTACGTGAATTTTGGTCTTGATAACAAATATCCAAGCATTAGGTTGATTTTGTCTTGAGACGATCACTTATAAAAGCAGCATAATTGTGTATATACATTCGTTCCAGAGTTATTCAATTCGTGATTGATTCAAGTTTTACTCTTTTCAACATAGAATTAAACCCTTCCTTCTACTGACTGCACTATTGATTGCCTACCACTTCACCATATTGTGCTTCTACAATTGCAATCTATTATAGAATAGAATAGAATAGAGGTGTCGGCGTTGAAGAAATAGGCCCATGGCCTGTTGCCGATTCTTGAACTTTTCGTGACTTGATTCACAAGGGATCCGGCCTTTGGAACCCGATCTTTCTATAGCTGACGATTGATTGAGATAGCTGCTGGACTTATTGCCTGATCCGTAATTTGCTAGGAATTTTAAGACTGAACATATTGTCATACTGAAGACTGACTGAACATATTGCGGGAGATCAACAACATATTTTAGCTATCGCCGCCTATTTCGGACTTGATAGTGAGGAAACTTAAAAAATTAGGTAAAGTAAAAAAAAAGGAAATTCTAAAAACTGGTTCTTAAACTTTTATTACACAAGTTCCCACTCTTGCGTGGTAATAAAACCCAATGAGACTAGAATAACCCAAATATATAACAATCCATATACCCTATCTACTCTACAATGCACATTATAACTAAGAACCTTCCCAAAACTACAAAGAACCACCCTGATAAGGATTCGGGCCCCACTCGCTCCCGCGATCGTCGGGACCGCAGCCGCTCCCGCTCCAGATCTCCTCGGCGCTCTCGCTCCCGTTCCTTCTCTTAGGTGAGTGAAATTTAATAAACCTATTGTTCTAACTGTAATTTCTACTAGCGTTGCACCTTAACGCTCGTTGTACAAGAGACAAGATCGTGGAAAAAGCTTTTGTTGAAAACTTCAGGCGTGTTTGTAACATAGTCACCGAAGCTGTAGATGGCCTAAAAAAATTCTCACCCTGAAGACGCTCTTCGATAATATTGAATTAATTGCAATGTTTTCTATTTACTTGATTCTCGTAAATCCTAATAACAGTTGGAGATTCTCCGGTGAAAAAATGGCATCGCAAAAATGGTAAACTCTTTTTCAATCGCTTGTAAAATTCTTTATCATCATGACATTTGGTATCTTAGATGCAGCTATGAAAAATCAACTCATCGGCTTCTTCCAGACGCCTCATCAGTGTCTGCAGAGTAATAACAAACACGATGGTTCTTCTAAAATAATATTGGCCTTCAAAACTACACTAGTGCCCGTGGACATTCAAATAAACTCCACTAACTAAACCGTTAGTGGAGTTCCGTTAACACTAACAGGGTTCGGTGGTACCGAACCCTGCAAGTTCTATACATGCATTCATCGAACCCTTCGTAGGTGGAAAAATAAAATGTGTGTGTTTTTTTTTTAATTCAAGACATATGTCTATGCTTTATTACTATATACTGTATAACTGCATAAACTGTAACTTGCATCATTTGCACACAAAATCAGTTTGTTGAAAGAAAGAAACATACACAACATAAATTTCCCACGCAAATAAAAAAATTGATATTCATTGCAAATCGATGTGACTTGTTGCCTCAGTCACTGAGGCAACAAAAAAAGTCAATAATGGCAAAGCAGTGCGTGACGTCCCGTGAAACAAACCGTCGAACCCCATAAAACAACTCACGTCGAACCCCATAAAACGACTGGGCTCGATGGAACCCAGGTTAAGAACCACTGGACTAAACTAAACAGACGAGTTCACACTATACGTATGGCACCTCATAATCACTGTTCTACCGCATTTGATTGAAGTTTGTCGTGTCGTTTGCAGAGTGCTTCATTTTTTTTCAATGGCTATATTGATTGTTGCCATGCATGTATATGAATTGATGTTAATTGAGATTAGATCCACTTTATTGTACTTTTACTTAGGACGGGTGTAGTATTTTTAGCTCATTTTCTCATTTATGGAAAAAATGCACTATTGTGCTCGCCATGTCCGTCCGTCCGTCTGTCTGTCTGTCTGTCCGTCCGTCTGTCCGTGACCGCAAGTTTTCGTCGACGAGGAAATGCGCTCTCTGTCACTCACTGCAGTGAGTACTGAGTTATAATTTTTTAGTGTAGTGCAATTTGTTTGAAATTATCTAGTCTACATCTACTTTCAAGATGCACCAAAGAAATTTCGTGTGAATATAATTTTCACTTATTCGTTCATATAATAATGAAGGGGGACTTATTGCTATTCTTGAAGTTGTTTATACTATTGAAACGCATTACTGAGTATACTTTCATCTGACGTGTATTCGCATCAAAATGGGCATTGATTCACTATTACTTACTCCTTTGTTCGCATTTTTATCGTAAGTAATTCACTGCCATGATTCCTCTTATAACATTTTCATAGTGAAAGAAACAGAAACAGCTCGCTTACGTTGAATCCCAACTTAAATAAATTTTCATCTTCGTCTCCTACTATGGAAAAATAACAAACAAGATTTATGTGATTTTCATTCCCAAATTTCGATTAGTGCGAGAGTTAACAGTTACTAAATCTTAATTTAACCAATTATTAGCTAGCACACTTGATTCGATGTGCCTATTTTCTAATCGAATGAGTTGAATAGTTTTTTCGCCACCTACTCTTCACTTGCGATACTGGCAGATGAAGTTGTAGGGTTTGTCACGATTAGTGTCACTGGGCAAGTAGTCTTCGCTCCTCTGCAGTCGCGCGTAGGGATCACTCTGCCTGTTACTGATTTCAGATGACACAATCTCTATTCCATCGGGCCAGTAGAACTTCATGTCGCTGAGTCGCAGTGTCGCGTCGACCCACCAGTTTTCCACATCCGCCTTGTCTGTGGAAAAAAAATCACCATTCGTTACATTGTTATATGACCGTGAGTTTGTCTCATACGAGAGAAACTCAATCCGTTTTTGCTGGGATCGCTCGATCGTCTAGCCAATAGAAATAGATGACTGTGTTTCAGCAACATGCCTGTTCGATGTGAGAGCTGCAAAAACTTCGGTATTCATTTGAAAAATTTCATTATTGTTGGGCAGTTCCCGATAGCAATGAACGGGCTTTGAAGCCATTACTCAAAGCTGCCATTGTAAATTTTGAGAATAATGGCAGCTATCTTGTATGGACGTTACGTCGCCGTTTATTAACTTGATAAAACGATGATCGATGCTTAAAGAATTCAGCTCCTGGATAATTTCTTGGGATGTTCTGCTTCAACATCGTTGAGCCACTTGACAGTAACTTTCTCAACTCTCCAAGCAATATGTGCGTGCGCAATTTTTGGACCTCATTTCATTTGAAAACTTTATCAATGTGTTTTTTATAATGTGCTCGTAACCACTGCGATGGTACATTTGTGACCATCTTGAAATAATATTCATTGCATAAACCCATATAAAACACATTGAATTGATGAACTGAAAAAATAGCTAACCTTCATCAATTTATCACAAATCAATGATAATCCATACATCCTATAGAATGAAAATTCAATCAAAAACTTGGAAATACGATCTGTCCAGGTCAACCCTCGCTAAACTTAGTATTAGTTGTCATTCATCGATACTTATGAAAAATACGATTAGGTTTTGCGTTCATGCGGTGGTACGAGTTCACTTTTTGTTATTTTATTTCCACCACTATTATTTTAGTATGCCATACTGCAGTGTGAAGTAATCCGAAAGTGTGGCAAATCAACACTCCAAATTATATTCATATTCCTCCCAAAAAACTCGATCTCCTTCACACGGCGAGACGTCACTATGCCCTGTTCGTTGCCGTCGATGCTCTCTATCTGGTCAAACTGAATAAAGCATAGGTAATTCTAATTATTTTACACTATAATATTAAAAATAGCTGTGTTGTGAAGTGGATACGGGACTGAGCAATGCTAAGCAACTATAGGCAGGATGTGACTTGACCGCAAAGTTAGGGAAGAAAACCGTGAAACCGAGGGTTTGTTTATAGTTTGAAATGGTGGGGGTTCCTGACCCTTGTGGAACTTGAAACTGTCGCGGCGTTCCGTAGTAGGCTATATGTGTGCGCGACGCCCTGCTATATAATCACCTTAAAAATGGCGCCAAAGGTTGTTCTACTGCGGTGACCGTCACGTCATTATGGTCCGCAGCTATCTCCGCAACGGCTTCGGCCGTTGGGCGGCAGGTCGCGAAATAACGGCCGCGCGAAACGTCAAGTCATCCATACCTCTGCGATTCAGCTACAACAACGTCAAGAATTAACACGAATTGGCCACGACTTCTTCATATATGTACAGTAAATATCATTGCTATGGCTGTGACTCAGCCGTGATACAACGCAAGAAGCCCCGAGCTGTCCAACGATTATAACACCGCGGCAAACGTGGAGATTCAAGTACAGATCACTGCGCAGAAATTCTTATCGGTACGGTCACATTCACCATCAGCAGCAGTATGGCAACGAATTTGGGCTAATTTCATGGATTATGAAGACGAACGCTACCTTCTGAACAAAAACAACTTCAAAGTTCTAACTTCACGAGTGATTTGAATTGTAATCTATACACACATACTGACTAAGCGGTTTTAGTGTCTAGTGACGTTTAATCCTGTGTTATTAGTGCTGTCAAAAACGTGTGGCACAATCTTCGACTAGGTTATACTTAGGCTAAATTCAACCATTTCATGTCCTTGTATATTAATTATGATATTGATTACATTTAATTGATGTTACTCATCTCGTCGCACGCCAAGTTTCCATGTTTAGCTTTTACGTTAAGCAAGAAGCGCAGACGTTGGACACAAATTTAACTCTTACGGCGAACCTACCTGTATTTCTTACAAAATTTATTTCTATAACGCTTATCTGCATGGTGCGTGACTTAGTCATGACATGCGAAAAAATAGGGTTAACACGTTTGTGCGACACAACCCTTCGTTGGGTTGAGTTTTTTTTCTGGACAAATTCTGCAATTTAGTTTTTATTCAATTGCGTTTGTCGACAAAAATTTATGACGGCAGTTTTAACTCGTTAAATTTTAAAATGTACGGAAAAGAGGAAAATTTAATTTTTGCACCGGAACGTACAAATTTACCAGCATATCTTGAATTATTGGCATTTTTATATGCGAATTTGGCCGTTTTTAGACCATCTGGCAGGGTGGGTCACGAAACTTCATTCACAACTTCGTTGTAAATAAAGTTTACAACGTGTTAAAAATAAAGTTCACAACGGAATGTGCACCACAATAGGATGAATTGTTCATCTGTGCGATTAATTCGTAATAACTATCACGATTACTACTGTAATGAATGATGGGCTCTGGCAATTTACTTACTTTTCTTGATGTAGTCCACAAGATCGTTCATCTGAGTAGCAGAGGACGGGAAGGCGAGCACGCTGCCCGTCGGGCACGAGCTTTTCGCCTTATCGAAGTTGGCCGTCACGGAAGAGAAGAAGTAGCAGAAGCCGCCCACCTCTTCGAAGCCAGGCTTGCACACTGACGGGTGTAGTTCGATAAATAAACAATTATGTAGGAGGTAATCGTAAATTGCATGAAAAATGTAACACGTTGGCATGTTATGTCGCATGCAACTGTAAATTAAACGTAATTAGGTGTTGTACTTGGGTCACTACTGAAAAATCCCTTCGGCACTTCTAATGGCGAAATTTTGGGACATATTTTTACTGCGCTCATGCAGCACTTTTTCCTCGCATAACGTTGTCTAATTGTGACCAAACTTGACCTTATTAACAACAAAACTATTCATTCACAATACGCTCCTGCGAACGTTCAAAGAATTTTTTGATCGGCTTTGTATGCTAGTATTACGATAATGTTTTTCCTTCTTGCCAAACTTAATACCCTTTCGTGACAGAAAGGACTTCTCAATCACAAACCATTAAGTACGAATAGCAGTGACGACGGTAAATGTATCCGAGACGAATGAATTAATTTTGTAAAAAATAGAAATGAAACAATGAAGACAGAAAATATTCCGTTAATGTTCGCAGGAGTGTATTGTGAATAAATAGTTTCGTTAGTAAGTAGGTCAAGAGCGGTCTTGATTGGACGAAGTTATGCATGGAAAGTGTGTAGAATGAGCCCTACTAAAATTCCTTGAAAAAAACTTATCCCTAAACTTTTGAAGTAGTTACTGACAGTACCCATGTTGGAACTATCTACAGTGACTGCAGATAGCGTGTGACTGAGACTACACTCCTTGTAAATGCAAAACGCTTGCCTCGACCGATGGCGTAATTTCAGGAGAACCGAAACCACACACATGTTTCAGCATTGTAATTTATTCGTAAATGAAGTTTGTTACCTCAAACCTTTTTTCTTCGGGTCATCATAACGAGCGAATCTCTCTCCTAAGAAAAGCTTAAATCATTGCGCGAAAGACTTTTTCATGCACAATGTCGTTCTGAAGATGAGTGGCCTGGAGACAAAATGTGACAAAACATTTGTATACCTTTGTTCTTCATGAAAGTGATGAAGGCCGAGTCCGTGATGAGGAGGGTTGTCAACACCGAGGCGCTGCTGCTGAAGTAACACTTGGACACGGAGGCCGCCTGAGTGATGGACACCGCCAGGCACCGCGTGTCCACGAAGCACCGATTCCGGCACACGCCTAAAGCAGCGTGGATATAAAGCCGGATCATTGCAACTCTGTCATTGCAAAGCGCATCGGAGAAAAATATATGGACATTTTGGCAATTGTTGAAATTGGTTAATAATTTGGCTATCGGCTCCACTCCTATCACGCTGTTTCATGTATTCGTCGTACAGCGATCTAGGGTATCTATGTTACTTGAGTTTGCACAGCAAAATATGATAAAAGTAAACATTTCATGACGTACAAAAGCAATTGTGAAGACGAAATTTTTTGGTCAACACTAACTGCAGCCCATATTTATTGAGCTTATAGCAGTAAAAAATGGAAAGGCAATTATCCGTAGTATTATGCTCCCAGTTTAATACATACATGTATATGTTGATAGATTTGTTTTAGCATCGTTTGGCATTCATCCGTTATGTTAGAATATCGCTTGAAAAATAACCAGAGGAGCTGCAGAAATATATTTGTATTAAAGTATTTATCAGAAGGCTTCTTGCGCTGTATCAATGTATCACGAGACGCAAACATCTGTGGATCATAGATCCAGTTAGTAATGTAAGTATAATATTACTCCAAAAATATTTACTTTACGATACAAAAAAGTGAAATATTGAAATTTTTTGAGCCTCTGCATTAAGACGTCATTTTGGTTACTCACATGCGCTAGATGCCTCCAAGTAAGACGTGTACCGTTCGATCTTTGCGTCGGTGAAGAGCGTCATTGCGCTCGCCTGAACTGCGCTGAAACTGCTCGCCAAACTGGCTAAGCAGAACACGCCGGAGAAGAGCATGCCGTGTGTTCTGAAAATCGACAGTTCTCACTCGTACTTGTTATAGATACGCTTCATGAAATTTAGTAAGAATTTGCCATTATCTTTTAAGCGATAAATTTTCTTACGATAGCAAATCCCCACATTGCGTCGATACCGCATTGCTGGAATTTATTCATTGAAAAAGCTTTCCTATAAGACGACACATATGTCACCTAGATCACAGTGCAGCCTGAAATTAAAGGCGTTATACAAATCTGTCTAATGGGGTTTATGAGCTTCCTACATAGATAAAAAAAAATTTCGAATGCGTTATAATATAAATGCGCAGCTGACCGTATGAGGGTTAAAGGTAATTATAATGCTTACACAAACTGCCTTATTTCCATCATAAGGCCAGAGTATAATACAACAATAACATTAATTTAATGAGGCAGATTTATGTTTATATTTTTTTTATGATAAGCTGCAGCGCTGAGCTATGCAAAATTATAGTATTCTATATGAGAGACTCTGAGATATTATTATTATAAATTTATAGCAAAAGATTTATTCCTGCTGTAAAACATTATACCAAGTTAATGAGGGGATTTATATTTCAACGGGCATTTCAGGGGAAAATGATTCAAATTGCATTATGAAGGAATGACATCATAGATTTTTCTTCGTATTTTGTCGACTTTCTTATATTGCATATGCATATTACAGCAATGATAAGCGATCGTTTAAAATTTATATATTTTCTCCATCACATCGAATATTACAATGGTTCAAGGAAGTAGACAGCGAAAACTCACAGAAATGCATGATTTTCGAACCTTTATATAATGATATACCATTCAAGCGCAGTTTCTCGACATGAGCGCCTATATAAAACGCTCCAACCCAAACAATCATTAAGGCCGAAAGAAATTTTCATAAAATTCATCCAACAATTAATAAATGCATTCAGTGTGACGACCTAAACTTCACAATTCGTTACGTTGATAAAAAAATTCTCTTAATATTGACAGTCATTTCGGATAACTTTTACTCCGAATTTTCTTCTTTCAAGGACAGACATTATTTTTTACTTATTTTTACGGGTAATTTCTTATTGAATAGCAGAATTTTTCATTCAGTTTTTTTCTGATTTAACTCTTTGAACGACCAATTTATGATAAACTAGGGAACAAATTTCTGATAATCGCTTAAATTTAAGATTTTTATGCAACCGAAGCTTAGTATTAATAGAAGAAGTTTCATGCTGTTAAGATCATGAATGAAAGCACGATTATTCGAAGTGTGATTGAAGGAACACATTTGAATAAATACTTTCGCTCGATAAGCCCTTATGATACAGGATTTCTCATAAGCTTTCATCACGGAGAATTTTAAGTAAATTCTTAAACAAAACTTTGTCATCGTTTCTCTAAATTAATTTCTTACAGACACCGTGACATTGCTAAGCTGCCAGTTATAGTCGCGCTCTCATTTTAGTACTTCTTTACGAAAGGAATAATTGAATAATTCAGTATTTCATTTGTCGTGCCTTCCTGGTTAATTTATTTTAGATTACCCATTTAGCGAGAAGATAATTTGGTTATTGAAAATAATCTATGAACTATAATAACTCCAGCTCAGGGTATACTATCAAGCTCGATGGCAATGGTGCGCAATTAACATGAGTAGCGAATATGGCCCATAATTTACACGGAAATTCAAATGACATATCTAATATCCGTCGAGTAACATGGAATACATCATTATATGTTGATAGAAACTACCGTCTGTCACGTGTATGCTGGTCTTATCTTCTCATATGGAACTAAGTTGGAATAATCTTCAATCGTATACGTGAGTGATGTCGCCCGTGTAAACTCGGGGTTTTGCCAGACGTGCTGAGTGACGCTCACGGCTTGGAAAATACGAAGGTTTTGCTTTGTTAAATCAGTTACGTCCTCAGAAATCCACATGGTCATGCCTTGTTACAACACATGCGGATGAAAAAAAATATTGCTTTAAAATATTGGATCGCATGATGCTTTATTCGAGTCTGCTTGAAAAATATTGGTGACGACTAAGGTTGAGTAACAAATGTTGTGTTTCATGGGTAAATTTTTTGCGTTGTTCCAAGTTTGGTGGTCTAAGTGTGTGAATGTAAAGTTTTATCAATTTTTATTGTAAATTATATTCATTTCGTGCAATCACGTCCGCGGTTTATGTGAATGAAAGGTAGTTGCGCGTCAGCAGCACTCATACGACAAGGCTTTCAATGCATAGCACAAAAAAAATCAATAATTGATGCAGTTCACATGAGTTTTGAAAATCCGGCAGTGGGAAGTTTTAAACGAAAATTATTAAACTCTACTACATTACATCAAGTTTCCAGCGATTAAATAGACTAATGTAAAATTTAATAAAGACTGCACGAGAATACGTGTGTATCGTCGAATAACTCATCCGAGTGGATGTGTAGCAAGCTTCAAGATATAAGTTGTCAAATACTATCATGTAAGGAAGGATTCAGAATTAGCATTGAATTAAGTAAATCGAGTGACATAAAACTTCATTTAAATTTAGGCATTCAAGGAAGAAGAAATCATGGGAATACATACCAAGTTAGTGGCGTAAGATAAATGAGCTTACCCAGGGGTTAAAAATTTCTCGAAAATTTAACAGCTAAATATATATACGTTCTATTTCTCGATAACTGAATACACCGCTTTTCACCGACAACCAGTTGAACTTGCCAGGCGCTCCCCTGGAATCCGACTGTGCTACCAAGAGAAACTCAACACCTTAACGAACTACTATTTCTTTATTTAAAAACTCAAACTTTAAGCTCAATCTTCTTCAACAGCAATGAACTTCTAATCAAATTCATCGACAAAAATCTGAGAGGAGAACAGTTTTATCCTGGCTGTATAGAGGCAACACTCGTAAGCTGTCTATTCTTGATGTTTTTCGCATTTAAAGCTTCACAAATTGGTTGAGTAAATATTGGCTACATTTTTTATTGTGTATTTGAAACGAAATCTACATAAATATCCATCATTCACTTATCGCTTTTACACGAAAAATTACGATCGCGTGCATTTGAACTGTTCCAGAGCCGCACAACTCCGAAGAAACTTTGATTAGTCGACACATGATTGGTCAAGAAAAACCATTGGTTTGAAAGTTAAGCGAATTGAAAATGTTTTATGCTAGTGAAGTTCCAATTTTGATCGGAGAGTTTGATTAACTTTCGGTTATAAACGACGGGCATCGTTGTTCAGGGACGAATATTTAACCAGTGAGCTGCATAGACCTAATCTAATACCCAACATGCTCTGCCTACGAGTCACCATTGATTTGAGTGCTCAAATATGCAATGATTGCCGGAATAGATGCACAGAATAAAAAATAATTAAATCCGAAAATGAATAATTGCACGAAATACTATGCTCTATAGTCTATAGCATAGAAGAATAAAAAATACCTTTTTTATAGAAGTTTTTTTCTTAGATTCATATAATAGGAAAAGTACCTTTTTAACGCGTACGTACGAAAAGTAACTTTTTAACGCGTACAAATCTTCAACAATCAATCCGCCTTTATTCTGGAGGACGTTTAATTTTAATATGGCAATGATTCATTTGGAAAAAAACATTTGAAACGTCGTTGAATATATTATACAAAATTATTGAGACCTACCTTTTGATCTATTAATATGTTATCTGAAGAATTTTTTGGCTCTTTGAAAATTTGAACATAATGCATTCTCTGGTCATTAATTGCACGTGATTAAATGAAATTGAATATATTCCAAGCGTGAATATAAAAAGAATCTCTCTTTGATACATTTATTTTACGGCTTTATAGTCGGCACGCCAGCTTCTAGCTTTCTAGCTGGCAGTAACTACAGATATGTCAAAGTTGATCTTGGGTTGGAATTATTGACATATTTCCTCGATCCAGTCTTGAAAATGATCCCTGACTGAAGTTTTGGGCTTGAGTACATACGGTACTGTGGCACGCGAACACTAATTACGAGTGGTAGCGCTGATACTGTGGTAAGGTCACTAATTTACATTCCTATGAACATTACTACTGCTGCACCTAAAACAGGTCACTAGTACTGCATCTACCACTCCAAAGCTGGTCACTAGTATTGCACCTTCCCTCCTCAGCAGGACACTAGCATTGCACCTTCCCTCCTCAGCAGGACACTANCCAGCCTTAATATAATAAAAATATTTGAAATATAATCCATAATATTATTATATATTTATTAGTTCTCCAATAATTGGTGTTTACAAGTAAAAGTTTGACAGAACGCAAATTTTAAAACTTTCTCACAATGGAGATGGAGCAGCGCTGGTGAGTTAGCTCCATAGAAATATGGAGCTAAACCAAATATCTTCAACAATCAAGCCAGTTGTGCTCCCTATCCAGGGATGCATGAAATAGGTCAATAATACATGGCATAATCACATTACAGCACAACAAAATTTTCTATCATTGTTGGCCAAAGTTCTACTCAAAAGCCCATCCCCTTCTGACGGCAAAATTTTTTAAAATATCCGAGCATATATGAAACTATAATGACTGAAAGTTTCTGACAATTTACGCACTTTTCTCTATGCATGCTACAAGATCAACCGAGTAGCAAAGGACGGGAAGTCGAGCACGCTGCCCACTGGGCACGAGCTGTTTGACGTATTGAAGTTGGCAAGCGAGGTAGAGAAGAGGTAGCAGAAACCGCTTACATCTTCTATAAGCTTTGCCAGCACACTGCGATTGGAGATCTAAAATCAATTATTTTATTAGAAACACTTACTATCAGCGAAAAATATCCCATGTTGACAACTTATAATGTACTCAATTGAAAGTTGCAATCAAGCTGACATTGTTGACATTGTACATACACCTCTACAAAAGCTTCCAATTATTGACCAAACCACACTCGATATATGATGCAGAGCGTGTGTTGTGAACTAAAGCTTAATTTCAGGATAAAAAATCACCTGAAAAAAGAAACTCTGTTAGAAAAAGGGTTGAAATTGTATCGTGAATGAAGTTTGTTAATTTAAATTTCGTTCAAGTTTTTTTAAGGGGTATCGTGAATTAACGAGTCAAGTTCTCGTCGAGGTGAATTCAGAATTAAGACGAAATTCATCTTTGGTTTATTGAATCTCGCAAGATATTATACATTTGTCTAAAGGCGTTCTGAAGAAAAGTGGTCCGAACTTGAAATTTCAAAAATCTTGAACACCTTTGATACTGATGAAGGTGATGGAGGCCGAGTCTGTGATGAGTAATGTGGCGAGCACCGAGGCGTTGCTGCTGAAGTTACACTTGGACACGGAGGCCGCCTGAGTGATGGACACCGCCAGGCACCGCATATCACCGCCGTCTGATATAAAACCGCCGCCGATATAAAAATTTTCATTGCCGTCTGATATAAAAAAATGATAGTAGCTGAAAATGTTCGTGCTGCAATTCCATTTCTCTTTACAATGTCCAAATCATCAATGTTAAAAGTTAACCCGGAACTGGCTATGTCAGGAAATATAGCATTCACCATGTTATTTGTTATTTTCAACCGATGTTCATTTCTTCACGGAGTGGAAGAATTTGCTTATTATGCAACCATGCAACTCGAGTTGGCTATTTGTGGTCCTCTGCATATCGGAGTGATGTGAAACAAGTGTTGAAACAATGATGCTGCTTAGGCCGACTTGCAAATTACTATAAAAATTCAAATATCATTCGAATCGACTCTATAAAACTACATAAAGTGGAGTTTAAAATACATCAAACTTCAGTTACTTGGTGATTCTTTTATTAAATTTGCACACAGTGATATTTATTACAATATCAAATAATTTCCGTACCGTTAGTGTCAGTTTAGCCTGATAATTGCGAGGGAAGTGATAAAATATCTGTGTTGATCAATTCTTATCTGCGGTTCTTAATGAAGCCTATCCTGGAAAACAATTTTTTTCAAAATTCAAATAGCATGAATAGTAACAGACCCATGAGTCATCATTATTATAACTGAATACAGATCCAAAACAAGAAACTTGATTGTGTACTATCAGCGTGTCATTCTGTATGAAAAGGTCACCTAAACTTTTCAATATAACTTCCCGAATGTCGATGGAGAAAGAAGTAGGATAATACCTCATTAATTTTGCAACGAATATTGGCATGAAATTTAGAAAATGAAATTTTCTTAGGGTCTATGGGATCAATATAAATGTTGGTACGTACTTGGGTGATTAGTAGGTAATTTCATATACATCCGCTAATTAGTCCAAATTAGATATATAAGTATTTTGAATAATAATTATTATTAAACACCATTATAATTAAAGTTGGAGATAAATTAATAACATTACCAATTCTGATCAACTTTGCTTTCTGGCCTCTGACCTTGTGTATTTATTTCATGCAAAATTTAATAGAATAAATTTCAACCATGTATAAAGCGATCTCCGTCGTAATTGCAGCCATAAAGATGATAATCGAGTCATGATTAAACTAATTCACCAAAAGTCATTATGTAACACCTCAATCAAATTTTAAGATTCATCTGAATTGCGCTTGCTCGGTTCTAGCATGTTACATTTTACCACGTTCACCTGGTAATGTAAACATTATGAGCTGTGAGAAAGAGTCTTTCACACAGTGCACTACTGGTAATAAGTGGAGTTTTTACCATACACTGCAGGTTATTTGTGAAGTTTAACAATGCACTGCTGATTTTTCGTGAAGTTAAACACTACACTGCAGGTTATTCGGGAAGTCAAACAATGCACTGCAGGTTATTTGTGAAGTTGAGCAATTAACAGCGGGTTATTTGTAAAGTTAAACAATGCACTGCAGGTCATTTTTGAAGTTAAACACTGCACTGCATGTTTTTCGTGAAATTAAACAATGCACTGCAGGTTATTCGTGATGTTGAACAAAGAAATGCAGGTTATTCGTGAAGCAAACAAGGCACTGAAAGTTATATGTGAAGTTGAGCAATGCACTGCAGGTCATTTGTGAAGTTAAGCATACACTGGAGGTTATATGCGTAGTTTAAGCAATGCACTGCTGGTAATTTGTGAAGTGGTAACAATGCATTGCAGTTCATTTCAGTGGTTCGAACATGCACTGCTGCTTATTTGTGCAGTTCGAACATAAAAAAATGTTTTTACTTTAAAAAATACCGTTTACTACTGGTAATTTTTTTCAGTTCAAACATTGGTAAAGAATGGCCGACTTTTAAGAATGCAATCAATGCAATGTGTTATTTGAACAAAGGTACAGAATAACTGACTTCAAATAATACACAACTGGTAATTTGTGCAGTTTGAAAAGTGGAACAAGATTCTCGACTAAGGACAATTCTCTACTGATAATAAGTTCAGTTGGATAACAAAAACCGAATAGTCAATTTTGAATAATGTACTACTTATATTTTAAGCCGCTTGCACACTACTGGCAATTTAGGTAGTTCGAACATAAAAAGAAGAACTCCTGTTAATTTGTGTTTTTAAGTATTTAAAGAGAGTTTTAGACTGTAGTCGAATTTTTATTACCTTAGTGCCAACATTGAAACAGAATTTCTGACGTGTTTCTGATTTTAGCTTTGAACTCGTTCAAAACCAAGGCATCGGGTTTGTAGGCTGAAGTGTTTGTCCTATCATTTTGACTTTTCCCATCGTCAAAGAAATAAGGTTGTTAAATAGAAGACCATTCATGCGCGGTGCACATTGGTTCTCGACATTGCGGAATTTTCCCAAAAAACAATTGCAGGCAAGTGGGTTTACGTTTACAATATTTTCATGTGACTGTTGCGTTGGAAATTCATAGAGCGGGATAATTTTACCTATCGTAATATATGCGCGAGCGGAATGTCGATCAATTGGTTTCACCAGTACAATAAGTACAGTGAAGAACTCAAGCTTACATTTGTACTGTAAAACGAAAAGGAAAGTGTTCG